CTGCCTTCGGCTCAGGTCATGATCCCAGGGTCCTGGGATCGAGTCCTGCATCGGGCTCCCTGCTCAGCAGGAAGCCTGCTTCTCCCTCTCCCCCTTCTTGTGTTCCCTCTCTCGCTGTCTCTCTCTGTCAAGTAAATAAATAAAATCTTAAAAAAAAAAAAAAATAGTCATTTTATACTTAGAAAATGTCTCTCCTTGATTATATATAATATCCCAATATTAGAATGGATAAAACAATCTCTAAGAATTTTCGAAGGCCACGTTAAAGGTTTTATATAAATATAATGAGCTTTTGATAACTCTACTCCTTTGCTTATCCCACTTTTTTAAAAAAATTCTAATTCTAATCTATGAAAGATAAGGCACAGCCTATTGTCCTATTCCCAAGATTAAATATCTTTGAAAACTTTACTTTAAGGAGCACCAAATCACTTTGTATTCTTACCCAAATATTTAGTGACTTAAAAAAAAAAATGAGACTTTAAAAAATTCTGGGGGAATGATAGAATTAATGAAGATTTATATTCACTAAGAGGAACATATAAATTTCTAAAGCAATAGATTCCCTTATTTTTGATAATGTCTATTTGATACACATATGTTTCAGCTGAAGCACTGAACCCACCATCCACTTGAAGAACATTATTAATACCACTATATCTGCTTCTGTGCTTTTCCCATTCCATTCTACTGTTTCTCTACAGAGAGAGCATTGCTGAATTTTTCAAATTTACCAATCTCTTTGTTTTTTTACATATAATTTTAAACAGGATAAACAAACTATTCCTTAATTTTGTTTTAGAGTTCGATAAAAATTGTCAGATTGCTATAGCAATCTGAGACTTGCTTTTCTCATTCAATATATTTCTAAGAATCATCCATATAGTATATTGTTTTCACTAATGTATACACAATTAGTATTCCATTATGCACCAATGGCAAATACCACAACTTATTTATATATTCTATCACTGATCATGTTGTTTCTTTTCTATTTTTTCTTTTTTTTTGTTTGCTATTAAGATCAGTGCTGCCATGAACATTCTTAAACATGTCTCCTTGTATATCAGTGCAAGAGATTTTCTGAGATCTATAGCTAAATGTGGATTTTCTAAGTCATGAAGTATGAAAACCATTCAAAATACTACATAATGTTTTTCAAAGTTCTTTTACCACTTTTGCCTTATTTACCAACAATTAAATTAACAGACTTCTTAATTTTTGCCAGTGTAGTGGGTATAAAAAGATATTTCATTGTGACCTAAATTTTGCATTTCCCTAATTACTAATGATGTTGAGAGTCTTTTCATGTGATTATTAGCAACTTGTGTTCCTTCATCTGGCAATGGCTGTTCTTGTAATTTAGTCATTTTTCTGTTGGGTTGTTAATTTATAGGGGTTCCCTCTATATTCTCCACAATGATCTTTTGCTGTTACGAGTATTGCAAATAATCTTCACTCCATTTGTGGCTTGTATTTTCATTCTGTTTGTATTATCTTTTAATAAAGAAAAGTCTTTAATTTAATGTAGTCAAATTTATCAATCTTTTTTTCTGGTTAGTGATTTTGTCTCTTAAAAATAATCCTTCCTAACTGTAAGCCAGAAAAATTTTCTTCTTTTTCTAAAACTTTTACTGTTCACGTCTGGAAATTATTACTGAATATGATACATAGATAGGGATCTGATTTCATTTTTTGCATTTGAATAATTAATTATTCTAGCACCGTTTATTAAATGGTGTTTTTCCCCCCTGTGATCAGCCACCTCATTATATATGTTTCCATATATATGTGTGGATATGTTTGGAAGTTTCTTATCCTGTCCTATCAGTCAATTTCTCTATCCCTGTGCCATTCTCACACTGTTTTACTTACTATAGCTTTATAATGAGTTTTGACATCCAGGAGAGCAAGTTCCCTCCAACACCACTCACACACCCCTATACACATGTTTGTTTGTTTTTTTTTCCTCAAGAGTGTTTTAGCTATTCTTGGCCTTTATAATAATAATACTAGAATTAACTCATCAAAAAAGTAAAGGTTTTAACAGAACTGCTTTGGATAAATAAATTAA